GCGGACGCCAGAAGAGATTAACGGTAAGTACATGGAGGCTTATGGGAAAATTTGCTTCGGGGTGCGACCAAATTCGGAGGGCGGAACGGATAAACCAGATTTACATTGAACCCTATGGGGAAATTTCCTTCGGGTTACGACCAACTCGGGATACGCCCAGACTCTCTTTGTACTTTTTTTCCTTTACTTCACTTTTTATATTTCCCTCCATTTGTATTAGTTTTTTATCTTTGTATTTGTAAACTTTCATAAAAATATTACCAAAAAAAAAAAGTTTTCATGTTGTGGATGGACAACAACGAACGGATTAAGTTCGTATCCCGAGGTACCACTGTACTTTGATACAATTTTAAACAACCCACAGGAAATATTCTTTCAAGTCTGTCTGGCCCCTTAACTTTCTAAAGTCAACCTTCTAGTCCCTCTTTCGCTGTTTTCCAAAAAGATTTTTTTTTTCTTTTCAATCCTTAAACTTACATGAAACTTCTTTCATCCAGGATAGAAGGAAGTTCTCCCAGCATAACGAACCTTGCCCTTCAGAAGGTTCTAAACATCCAAAAGATCAGTAACAAGCAATTTCCTAAAGTAGTTAAGAGAGGAAGTGGGCAAACCCAATATCCATTTGAACCGTGGCTTGGGCAGAATGATTTTTAATGATATTAAAAACTAAAAATGTAGTTTTTATTGTACTAACATTGATGTATTTTTTAATTGTTTGTTATGCTTCACTAAAAAAAGGAAAAAGAGAATTCATTTTCTAAGCCAACTTGGACTGGACCAGTAATCAAGTCAAGGATGCCTCTAAACAGAAAACTGTCCAGCCTGAAGGAGAAGAAAGCCACGGTTTATACCTCACCCCATTTCTCCTTTCCTGCTCAAATATATTAATCCTGGTTTGTTTGTTTTTTACATTCCTCAAACATCTGGAAATGTCTTTCTCGGAAAAGTGCAGTTAGTCAAATTGCTTGGGGTGGGAGGAGGGAACATTTGGGGAGAAGGATGGAAAGATGGCAAGATTCTTCATCCATGGCATCTTTTTGCAAACCCCCAGGCACTTTCTAAGGGACTGTCCTTGAGTTATGTCCTCAAGTGCACAACTCAGCCATGGACAGCTTATCATTTCCTTCCTGTGAAGGGAGATGAAGCTTGAGCTTGTGAAAAGAGAGTTGGGGGTTCATGTTATGGGGAGAAGAGGGGTGTGAATTTTTGCATACGCCTGAGAGAGGGACTATCTGGGACCAGATAAGATCCTA